CTTTTCGACTACACACAATGTCCTCTGTCTCCTTTAAAAGCTTTTATTGTGACTGCTGTCATTGTCCTCTCCGGCGTGAATAACAGCAGTCCTCTGTTCGCACGCCTCTGGATCAGAGAATCGGCCATTCATACACACCGTTCTCACCCCAATTTAGCTGCAAATTAAATGTCAGAGTCTGGTACGGAATTCTGATCAGGAAATACTCAGATGAGAGCAATTTGTCTTTGATAAAAGGCGGCGAACAGACTTTTCCTTATTCATTAAACGCGTTAAATGAACAAATGTACGAGAGATGGATTCAGGGGTTTGACGGTTATCAACCCAAAGCAACACCATCCAGAACAATCAGATCTGCTGTGAGGAGAGCACAGAACATTGAACATGACACAGATGGATCTGGGAACACACACACACACACACACACAAAATCAATATGTGAATTATATACTGTATATATATATATAAAAAATTAAATAGTATATAAAATATATATTATGCATAATATTAAAATTTAATTCGTAAAAAATATCCATTTAATTAAACATTTAATGAATAATACAATACATTTTAATATTTAATTCATATATTAATAATGATATTTTATATATTAATATTTAATTGCATTAAGATACGAAGAAACATTTTTTAAAGCATCAATCTAGCAAAACATAGTGATGTTTAATCTTAAAACAAGAAGAAAAAAAAACTATAGATACAGTATATTGGCTACAGTTGAGTCTTAAAGGAACAGTTCTCCCAAAATGAATTATTTTATAGTGCACAAGTCATAGAAATCTCTTTTATGATAAGTTTATGGTACTTCTTCATCCTTTTGAAACTCAAAAGCGGCAGTCTACATTTACTGCACTGCATGGAATTTTTTTTTTAATCAATTTCTCTATAGGTGTTCCACAGTTAACAAATAAAATAAAATAATAAAATAATAATTTTTACTTCAACTTTTCCTTTAATATTTTATGCAGTTTTTCTTCTCGTATTTAAATGTTTGTTATTATATGGATATTTTCCCCGAAAGCAAGCTGAAGATACTGGTTAAGAAAATGCTTTTAGAGTGCATCATTTAATGACTCATCCTTGTTGAACTCCATAAATCCCTTTTCGACTACACACAATGTCCTCTGTCTCCTTTAAAAGCTTTTATTGTGACTGCTGTCATTGTCCTCTCCGGCGTGAATAACAGCAGTCCTCTGTTCGCACGCCTCTGGATCAGAGAATCGGCCATTCATACACACCGTTCTCACCCCAATTTAGCTGCAAATTAAATGTCAGAGTCTGGTACGGAATTCTGATCAGGAAATACTCAGATGAGAGCAATTTGTCTTTGATAAAAGGCGGCGAACAGACTTTTCCTTATTCATTAAACGCGTTAAATGAACAAATGTACGAGAGATGGATTCAGGGGTTTGACGGTTATCAACCCAAAGCAACACCATCCAGAACAATCAGATCTGCTGTGAGGAGAGCACAGAACATTGAACATGACACAGATGGATCTGGGAATATAAGGTCATGCTCTCTCCGCGTCGCTCTGTCTGTCTTTTTCGCTCTTTCGCACGTGATAATCCATCCTGATCTTCATGTGGGGTTGGAGGCAGAGCTGAAAGCGATGGCCCGAAGCACATCACAGGCACATCTCGGTTCCTGTACTGTACGTACCAGAACACACATATTCTCCTTTATAGTCGTATGATGGATTCCTAACAGGCTTCTGAACCAAAGCGCCACAGGCGGAAGGTCACAAGTAAGATATTGTTGGCTGGGAAGTACCTTAACCATCTTCAACAATGAGTTCCTGGAAAAATCCACTTCATGTTCCCCTGGGAAGCCACTTTTCATTGCCAAAAGAAAGATTAGTCTTCCTCTATGAAGCTGCCAGAGGCTGCAAGGCATGCTTTCTGTGGAGTGCTGATGTCCACCTGGAGCTTCTTCAGTTCATCAAGAGCAAGGACTTCTGCATGAACAGATCCTCTGGGTATAAATGAAATCCTCAACCATCTTTGCTGAATGTGCGCAAAACAGACAATGAAAACATATGAGAGCCGGACTATGGATTTTCATGGCTTCGAAATTCACCTACACAATACACAATACACACAATACTCATTTATTTTGCCACTTTTTTGGTAGAAAAGAAGAGAAATGGGATCAGGGAACAGCACAAGATCAATTCAAACTTCTGTTGGCCATATGTGTGCCAAGGCTCAGTGTGTTGGATCTGAAAATCAAACAATAACTGAGAGAGACGTACTACTATATGGTGGCTATGGTCCTGCCATTAGGACACGGTTCCAGCAGAAAAGCTTTAAACAAAAGAAACAGGCAAAAACAGTCTAGAGGTATTATGCAAATCACCAAATTACTGCTGAATTCAATTTGCATGCAACAATTCCCAAACTAGTGGAAAATTTCGCTCCACCACCGTAATCCAAGTACCTGATACGGCATTTTAAAATTCGGAAAGTGAGCTCGATTGCATATACCGGTTATAACGCTCTTCACCATCATTACTGATGCCATGACTAGAATGACAATGATTTAAGTAATGAAAATACATTTATTTAATTAATTAAATTTAATTAAAATAAAATAAGTAGTCAAATTAAAAATACAAAACAGAAAAATTACTTAAAAAATTACAAAAAATAAAAATAAAACATGAAATATTAAAAGAGTAAATAATTAAAAATGAAACAAAATAAGTAGAAATTTTTAAATAAAATGGAAAAATAAACGTAAAATTACTTTATAAAAAGTAAAAAAAATACAAATTAAATACAAATATATCAATTATGTTACAGTTTTTTATATATATAAAAAGTAAATTAAAATTAAACAAAATAAGTAGTCAAATTATTAACAAAAAACAAAAATGTCAATTTATCACATAACATAATTAAATTAATTTAATTTAAATAATTAAACTAAAATAAGTAGTCAAATTAAAAATAATAAAACTGGAAAATTACTTTTAAGTGTTAAAAATAAAAATAAAACATTAAATATTAAATTAGTAAATAATTAAAACTGAAAAATAAACTAAAAAAATACTTGAAATACTGAAGAAATTTTAAATTGAATACAAATATATAAATTATGTTACAGTTTGTAATATATTAAAAATGTAAATTCAAATTAAACAAAATAAGTAGACAAATTACAAACATAAAAACAAAAATGTTAATAAAAAAAAAAAAGAAAATAAATATTCAAGTAAATTATTACATAAAAATATACTAAGTAGTCAAATTACAAACATAAAAGCAAAAATGTTAATAAAAAAAAAAAAGAAAATAAATATTCAAGTAAATTATTACATAAAAATATACTAAGTAGTCAAATTACAAACATAAAAAACAAAAAAGTTCATTAAAAAGTAAAATATATAAATATTAAATTAAATAATAATACATAAAAATTAAACAAAATAAGTAGACAAATTACAAACATAAAAACCAAAAATTTTAATTTATATAAAAACAATATTAAAGTAAATGATTAAATAAAAAAATACTAAATAAGTAGTCAAATTACAAACATAAAAACCAAAAAAGTTAATAAAAAAAGGTAAAAATATATAAATATTAAATTAAATAATAATACATAAAAATAAAATAAAACAAAACAAGCAGCCAAATTACAAAAAAAAAAGAAAAATAAGAAAGTATTTTAGTAAGTATTAAAAATGATTAGTATTAAATCTTAAAGTATTAAAAATATAACATTGAAAATTATATAAAAAAATTATAAGTGCATTTAAAGCCTGGTTACTGCATTGTAGGTGATTAGTGAATGCTGAAATAATACTGTGAATTTGCTGTGAAAGAATCGATGAACAGATGCCTTAGTGCATAATGAGTCTTTGCAGCACCATTAGCACCAACTAACTTCCCCCAAAGTCATCAAACTCCCAGCACCAAAAACTCTGCTGAGCTTGCAACAAAAGCAGGAAACGAGATGCCAGAGTATCAGCATATGTCACAATCTGTCTCAGAGAAGTGAGACCTGTCTTACCTTCAGATCAATCACTAATACAGTCCCAAAGAATCTGGACGTATCAAGATTTCACTCTGACCGTGAGCTAATATTTCATAAACGAATTAACTTCCCAGCGGAAGACGTGATTAGACATAGTATCTATTCTAAGAGGACAGGAAACGCTTCTGTTTCTGATCACATGACACCGGCCACAGTAATCGGTCAGTGTTCAATCGAAAAAAGATATTTTCCATGATGTGCAGCATAAGTATATCCTTATCTGAAATATGATATGCTACGAAAACATCAGGTTTTGGGCTTCAACGATGAATACTGATAACTTACGGCTATTGATCGAGGGATAAACAAGGCTCATTAATGTTCAAACCTCCACGCAGGCCAGCTAAAATACCTAAAAAAGCATTTCTGTCATGCGTGAATGTTTCTTTAATTCCCTCTGGACCTTTTTTAGTTTCATATCTGGAGGGAAGAGAAGTGGAAACTGCTATTCCACCCATGACGCCTAATCACATTTCTCTCTTATTAGTTTCCAAGCGCACCGAGAGAAATTAAGGCTGAAGTGGCCGAATCTAATAAATATTGATGTTCATTACGGTCTCTCTCTACCTGTCTCTCTCTCTCTCTCTCTCTCTCTCTCTCGTCTCTCTCCCGTTCGCTTCTCTAGATGTATCAGCTGTACCCACAATGCCCCTCCCTTCCCACTCTTTAAAGGATCCGCCTGTCCTGTGGAAACAGAAGAGGCAGAGAAACTGGCTGGTATCCGAACATACCAGCATTTCTCTGGAGCCACGCCGACTAAATATAGACATTGCATGCTTTGATGTCTGAAATATTAACGGATCTCTCATGCAAACACACTCCAAAAAAATCAAAGCTGCTTCGTTTGATGCCAAACCAATGTGCACCTGTCCAAAAGCACAAACTGAGAGAAGCTTTACGGGAAAAGAACCTCCAAAAGAGTGATTAAAAACACCCCTTACCGGATGTTTAATGACAGTCGGATGCGGCGTCCGAATGTGTGTCCGTATCCACAGATGCAGAATTATATCCAGAATGCTGATGCACTCCTGACTCACAAAACACAAGCTTGATGAAGAGCTTGCAGACGCATCCGTGATCCACCTGCTTCCAACACGCATGAACACACAAGACACACACTCGAGCAGAGGGCGTACCTACAGTCAGCCGACGGAGATTTCAAATCTACAGAGCAACTAGTGGTGCAGGATAATTTCATGCAGGAAAACCTCATTTAGTCAGGCTGTGTTTTCCTTTAGAGAATCAGATCAGTGGGATTTTACACCACAATCAATTACAGAAAAAAATACATCCTAATATTCAAGTATAATTTTAGCAATTGGCTTCTTCAGAACCAACCATGTTGACACTGATGTTGCTTTTTTCACCTATAACAATACTATATTATTTCAGTGTATTATATACTGTATGTGCTACTTAAAAGTGGGGTAAGTGATTTCTGGTAGCCAATGTTGACGTTTGAAATCCCCAAAACAAACACGCCCCTACCCCAAAAGGGTCTCGCCCCTATTTTGATAGCTCGGCCCCACACATATGTACGCAACCCAGGGAACGATTAGTTCTGTGAAACGAAGCAAAACCAATGTTACACTGTGTCTACACCGGACGCGGTGCAACAAAATACTATGGAACTCATAATCAGTGATGCTGTCTGCATATGTATATATATATATATATATATATATATATATATATATATATATATGTTTTACATTGTGTGGGGAATGAAACGAAAACACAAAATAGTAAATTTGTGCACTAAACATGAATTTCAGCTGAAAAACTTGTTTTCAAATAATATAGCTGTTTTTTTTCTTGCAAAAAATGTTTAAAAATGTAAATGAATTTTAATTCATTCAATTATTTATATAAAATAATTTAATTACAATTTAATGTAACAAAATTATATAAATTATTACTTATGAAATTATTACAATTTCTAGCTTAATTCAAGATACATACTGTTCCTTAAGATTTTGAGTCTCTTATGTTCACCAAGGCTGCATTTTTGATCAAAAATACAGTAAAAACTGTGAGATATTTTAAAATAACATATTATAATAATTTTAAATAACTGTTTTGTACTGTAATATATTTTCAGATGTAATTCATTCCTGTGATGCAAAGCTGAATTTTCAGTAGCCATTACTCCAGTCTTCAGTATCACCGATAATATGCTGATTTGCTGCCCGAGAAACATTTCTTATTATTATCAGGGTTTCAAACAGTTCAGCTGCTTCATATTTTTGTGGAAACCTTTTTTTTCAGGATGCTTTGATGAATAGAAAGTTCAAAAGAACAACATTTATTTGAAATGGAAATCTATTGTAACATTATACACGTGTTACTGTCACTTTCAATCAATTTAATCCATCCTTGCTGAATAAAAGCATTAATTTATTTTTGCTCCCAAGAAAATGTATCGTGTTTTAAGCATGTTTATGTTTTGAAAACGAGACAAAAGTAATGATTACACAATGATTTTTCCAGTGTCAGTTTATGCTCACCTGTCTTTGTATTTGTCCCTCAATCATTGTTCTACACACGGATGACAGTGATGGATCCTCTATGTTGCTGTGCAATATGTTAGCTGAGGACTCAACAGCACAAGTCTGATAGAGTGAGAATGAGGGGACGATGTCTATGATGCTGTGAAATAGAAAGACCAAAGAGAGCAGAAAAAACAGAGAGACAGAGATGGGATTGTGGAGAAGAAGTAAGTGGAAGAGGATACTGTAGAACAGAAAGCTCAGGATCAAAGCCCAGGATCAGTGTGACTTTAGAAAGTTTCTGCACAGGAGATAAAAGCCTCCAGGAGAATCTTCAGATATCCTCGTTCAGCACAGGCAACAAAGGTTCTTGTTTGTTTGCTCAGGTTCTTTGTCTCGGGCTGAAACTGATCATGGATTGAACTCGATTGACCTTTTATGTAAATTGACCCATCGCTAAACCTCACTTTAAAAACATTACTGACCAATCCTACCATAGCAACTGTTGCCGTCCACAGTTTTCTTTTTGATATTTTCTAATAAGTCTATGGAGGGCTGTATGTTAATTAACTTTAAAGTGTTAGTTTTAATTTTACAAATGTAGTCATTTTATGAGAATCATTTAATTTTACAAGCTTTAATAATGTTAAAATTAATTGTAAATATTTTCTTAAAAAAGGAAGATACAAATGTGCCGAAATGTCACAATTAAAATTTTGTTTTAGCACATTTAAAAGTTTGCGGTCAGTAAGATTTTTTAATTGTTATTTTTTTTAAAGAAATTTATACTTTTACTCAGCAAGGTGCATTAATAATAAAAACATTTATAATGTTATAAAAAATATTCTGTTCAAATAAATGCTATTTTTCCTATACATCAAAGACTCCTGAGGGGAAAAAATATTAAAAACATTACATTTTTGCACAAAAATATTAAGCAGCACAACTGTTTTCAACATTGATGTAAATGATAAATATTTCTTGAGCAGCAAATCAGTATATTAGAATGATTTCTGAAGGATCCTGTGACACTGAAGACTGGCGTAATAATTTTTTAATATATACATTTGAAATAAAATTGAAATAAAATAAATTTTAAAACTGTTTTATTAAATTGTAATAATATCTCACAATATTACTGCTTTTACTGAATGCTTATTGCTTGGTATGAAAATACCAAAATGAAAATAATATGAAAATAATAAATAACTGAAACTGCCATTCAAAGTGAAAAAATTACAGCCAATTAAAACATATTTGAGTGGCGCAGGATTTTGGACCAGTGAGATTTTGTTATGGGCGGAGCTACCTAACATGCCTGGGTAAAAATAGAAATGACTGAAATGTTCATATTTGGATAAAAAGTTTAACATAGAAGAGATGGAATTGTTGACAAATTTTACCTGGACAAATGTCTTCATATCTGGTCTTCTGATTGGCCCAAGCATTCAGATACAATATTCAGATCCTGTCAAACATGTGACAGGAAACTGGATGTCTTGACTGGCAGGTGGAGGGAAAGTTTCTAGAGAAGCAAGAGGGAGAGAACGACTAGAGGAGTGCAACAGAGAGAGGGAGAGAATTGCTCCCAGCAAATCGTATAAAGCCATGAATAATTTACCACCTCCTCCAGCAAACCCTGATCTTTTTGTCCGTTGACTCAGGAGACCGAGGCTTTATTGGAATGAAGGCTTTCTGTGTCCTAATTTAGCATTTGCTGTCGTATCCCAGAGTGAGAGAGATGCCGCAGTGTTGCATGGATCCCGGACACAGAACGCCTGACCTTAAAGAGTCTCGTGAAACGCGGCTCCCGAGAGGAACCTGGCTGGCTGTGAAACGTGTGTGTGCCTGTTTGGAACAAGCGGGAGAATTGATGTGAACCGAGCACTGAAATCCTTTAAATGCTCTGAAGATGGCTGGTACATAACAGAGCGATATCATTTTCTTCCTGCGATGGCTAAATAACTCACTTCACCGGACAGCAGATGAGGGACTAGTTGAAAGCTCAAGCGGGAATAGGAGTTCATTTAAAGTGAACATTCCTTCCTCCTATTGCAGCATCCCACCATCAATCTATGCCATTTCAATCCAATACCATTACACAAAATGTCTTATAATGATATTGAAAAAGGAATGCTGCCCTGTTCATGTTGTTTATGATGGATAAATGTCTTGACAGGCCATAATCCATACTTACTAGCATTTTTTTGGCTTTTTGCCATATTTAAAGGACAGATAATGGGATTGGAAAAGACTTTCTGGAATGATTGGAATCAAACCATGATCATCCAGATGAGCACCAAGATCTATCTGCAAAAATCCAACAAGTAAATTAATATTTTTTTATAATAAATAAAAATATGAATGAATGAATAAACTGTATTTACTATAAATATTTAATATTGCATTGTAAAATGTATTTTAAATGATTAAATTTATATATATTAATACATTTAATATAAATATTCAATATTATCAGATAAATATAAAAAAGTTAGATGAAGAATAGATATAAATAAAAATAAGAATGTATGAATAAATAAAATGTGTGTTTACTTACTATAAATATTTAATCTTTTAATATTTATTTCATATTTGAATAAATATTTCATATTTTTAGATAAATTAATATAAATAAATAAAAATAAGAATTTTATGAATGATTGAACTTTGTATTTATTTACTATAAATATTTAATATTTTAATATAAATATTTATTTAATTTTCGAATATGAATAAATATAAAGTTATGAAAAAATGTCTATATATTTAATATAAACATTTATTATTTTAATATAGTTAATAAAAATATTTCTTTAATATTTCTAAAGAAATACATACATTTTCAAATGCTTATTCAATTTTAAAGTGCCCCTATTATGCCATTTTGAATGTTGCCTTTCATGCAGTGTGTAATGTAGCTGTATGTGAATGTAAACGATCTGTTAAAGGAGACATATTATGCCCCTTTTTACAATATGTAATATAAGTCTCTGGTGTCCCCGGAATGTGTCTGTGAAGTTTCAGCTCAAAATACTCCACAGATAATTTATTATATCATTTGAATCGTTTGGCAATCTTTGGAAAATTAGGTGACATTAAATGCATATTTTGAGAAAATGAAAGTGCTTTTTGACCTTGCATGCAACCTATTGTAGGAGACTCCCAAATCAATATTAGGAACCTTAAAAATGGCATAATAGGGAACTGCAACATAAACTGGATTCAAACTCAGAATGCCCACATCTGAATGTCCACATTTCAGAACATTTGCAAGTTCCAATTAAAGTGCAGCAGAAAGTCAAGTGATGTTGTGCATTCTGGGAATTGGTCTGTAAAATTATGTTGCAGGTTGTTCCAAATAAAATAAAATAAAAAGATTTTAAAGTAAATTTTCAAGATATACTGTATGTACTCTGCATGTAGTGAGCAGGAACTTTGAATCGGAGAGCAGCTTGTTACAGTTGACCATTGAGTTCCTCCAACTGGACCTCAACTCTTGCCATCCTGAACTTTGACCCTTGTGGTTTATAATAATGCTTTTAATTGAGGCTTTCCTCTCTGACCTCTAGATATTTTCCAGGCTCATTATGCAGTCATTCAAGCTAATGATCATCAGGGGGCTCGTT